TATTTTTAAAATATGTAACATAAATTTCAATTAATGTAAACGATTGTCTTTTAAATAATAAAAATGTGATTAGTTTTAAAAGCTTGTCAAATTTTGAAATGATATATTATTCAATAATTATGCATCTTTTCACATGCACTACTTATAAGAAGATTGTGAAACAATGATAAAAATCTCAAAAGATGTATTTTCTGATAATAAAAGTTGTGAAATATGTCACCAAAGGTTGTATCCTTCGATTTTGTACCTATTATATTTGGACATAATCGCTTAACTTTTAAATTTTTTCTTATTTACTACACAATAATCATACATTTTCGAACTGATTAGCTGTAAATAACCTACAGTTGCAACTTTCTATTAACTGTCATATGTACCTATTCGTTTTTCATACTCTACCACACATACCTTTTCGATTCTATTTAAACAACCTGGAGTCGAATTTTAGATTTTTTTTTCGATTTGCGTGTGAACCCCCATTGAGAACCTTCAATGGGGGTGCTCTTATAAATCTCGCTGATCATAAAATTAAAGATAACGTACATAGCCATATGCTCTAAAAGAAACCATGTTTCCAAACCATTATCTTCTTGCTCTTCACAGTTCCTCTCTCTCCGCTTTTCTCTTTGGACAAGGCCATGGTTGCTGCAAAAAGTGGACACAAACATATACAAATATCTCTTTGTATAATATAGAGGTGTATGGAACAATTTTTTTTGTTATGAATAAGCTACGTTAAAAAGTCCATTTGTTGTTCTTATTTTCTGTTTCCTATCAGATCATTGACAAAAACACATGAACTGTTCCAAAACTCATTTTTAATGAATCTAATTTGCGAGAAAATCTCCAAGATAATAACGCTTAGTTTACATATTTTCACTTAAAGAATAATAATATTAAAAACTTTTTTTTTTGTACTTTCCAATAAAATCTAAAAATTTGTCAAGATAATTAAAATTGTCAAGCCAAATTCAAATTATGGCACATGTAGAAGAAAATGTATCATTATAATTATTTGGTTAAATTATATTTGGTCAAAAGATACATATCAAATAAAATGAGAAAAGACGAAAAAAGAAAATGAGAGATGCATGTGTGATGAAACAGCTCCGGTTAATCAAAAGTAAGCAATTTATTATTATATATAAAATTTACAAATATTTTAGCCACTTTGTTGTTATTTAAATTGATGAATTATTGTTTTGTTTTGGTTATAAGTTCCAATCCTTAAAAATATATTATAAAAGTATATTCAAAATATAACAAAATCTAAAAAAATGTTCAAAGAAGTGTATTTATTATAAAATGAGATAGTGTTTAAAAAATTCAAATTATGAAATGGTATGGGTATCAATAATTATGTGTCTTTTCATAGGTAACTATTGGAAAGATTTTGCAAATATGTGTTGATAAGTCTTTTATTATAATAATGTGTCTTTTCATACTAAATGTACTATCTAATTTTTTTGTTGTTGTTTCAGATCTGAAAGTTGTGGCTATTAGTATAGATTATTGGGAAATTATAAGCAGGTCTGACTCTAAGTAATTTTTTATAATTAATTCATTTGTTAAATTTTTATTTTTATAGTAAATTTTACAATTATAGATGATGGTAACCTTTGGTGAAGATCTATTATAAATATAATAAATCATTGTAACTATTGGTAATCATAGATTTTGATGAAGAACTATTGTAACTTTTGGTGTTAACAACTATAACTCTTAATTAACTATTATGATGCATGGTTGATAACCTTGCAACTTTTAACTCTCTATATAAGGAATTGTGGGATTGACAAACCATAATTAAAAATTCTTAAATTATTATGTGTTTTTCAACATTATCACAAAATTTATAAATTTTAAGAATTGTTTCTTTTTAATTAGCTTAAAGAAGTAGTTAAAATATTCCTAAAAGTGTGTTCGAATAATTAAAGAAATTTGTCATTTCATTAAGTTATGTTGTTTTATCCTAAAATTTGCATTAAGAATTTGTCAATTATATATTTTTATTTTCGATATTATCTATAAAATGTATTAGTTTTAAAATTATTGTATTTTAATTAGTTTTAAAAGTAGTTAAAATATCACTAAAAGTGTTTCCAATAATTTAAGAGTTTTGTCCTTTCATTATGCAATAAAATGTTTTTTCTGTATTGTATATCCATTCAAAATATATTATAAATGTTCTATTTTCAAATAACTATCTTTTGAAAATTGTGACTATTCATATAATTCTTTGGAAAACTATAAATAGGCAATTCCATAAGTTTCTCAAAGTAATCTTTCACAAATTTGTTAAAATGGCGAAGAAAAAAAAGTGTGCAATAACCTGATTACAAATTCTTAAACTATTTTAAATGAAGTATTGTTAACAAAGGATAAAAGAAATAATTGTTCGTGTCTAGACATAAAAAATTCTAAATGACATAATGAAGTTATTAGTATGAATTTTCTTCTACTAGATAAAAATGTGTGTGTTTTTTTTAGAGTTGGCGTAATAAGTTATTTTATAATATTAACAAAATTATTAGCTTTTAATATGTTTATTTTTAATTAATTTCAGTTGTTTTCAAGATTCCTAAATTACTTAGCTAAACAGATAAATAAGACATATATCTTATTTAGTATTGACATATTTATTAGTTTTTAACTAATCTATAAACAAAATATAGATTTTATTATTTTCCAAAAACAATTATATAATGTGATTTTTTCACAAAATAAATTTTCGTGCGATATCGCACGGGTTCTTTACCTAGTTTTCATAATAATTTTCACCATAATAGATAGATAATATGTTTTTTTTTGTCATCTCATTTATTAAACAAGACTAAGAAAACAAAGAAAATATAAAACGAGGCCAACATTGGCAAGGCCTAGGCTTAAACAATATTTCAAACAAAGGCGGCCCAAAATGACCACACTAAAAGCAAAGTAAACTCAAAGAGATGACGCTGTAAATCTGCAAGAGTCAGGTGTGCAAACGCAAAGTAGGGTAGAGACACGCACCGCTAATAAGATGATAGTTTACTTTACTCCAGCCATTTATTTGACATATAATACCGGATGGTCCCACCAACAGCAGTCTCTAATTTCGGTTTAATTTGGTTTTAGTTCGATTCAAAACAAATATAACTTGTAAAAAGTTAGAATACGAATTATAAAACTCAACTAATTCTAGCTGAATCTGGCAAAGTAAACTCTCTACAACTTGCTTTACAAAAAAAAAAAAAAAAAAATCTCTACAACTTGAAGAAGGACCTGTCACGTTTTAAGAATGGAGATATCTCTCTCGAATACGGAGTCCCTCAAATACTTATCAATCAACTTTCTCATTCTTCTTTAATCTTCTCAAACGAACGTTGTGAGTAATCTTATCACCCTATATATCCACATCGTAAAACCCTTTTTTCTCTCTTCCCTCTCCTCTTGTCGGTATCAGAAGAATTACTTCTCTTCTATAACTCTTTCTAAACCAATTACGGGTTCTTTCTGATGCTAAACAAACCCCAGAAGATTTTTGTGCAGCGAAGACGACTCCTTGAACCACCGCTGTATCAGCATTGATACTCAGAGCTTGGTGTTTGATTTGGTATGGTTCTTAAAGGGCTTGAGGTAATAGAAGAGACATCTTGTTAGGACTAAACTGCCATAGTTGCTCTGAGGTTCTTTATCAGCTTTTATATGGATATTTGTCCTTCAAACTTTACATATCCTCTGAACCAGACCAGACCTATTCTTTGGTCGAAAGATGAGGATGTCATCCCGTGACCAGTACAAGAACATTCCTTCAAGAAACAGAGTTTCTCTATCATCTCAACGGGTAAAGAATGATTTATGTAATGTTGTTAGTGGGGGTATATGGCAGTGGAGAAGCAATGCTTGACGAGAGCTAAATTTCCAATCAAAGTACATAGGAAGGAGAGTGCAGTTGCAGTTTCGTCTCGTATGGTCAGAAAAAGAAAGGGAGATGGAGAAGGGTGAGCTAAGAGTATTGCCGAGTAAACAATGGTATCATGCTACTGTTTCAAAGACACTGACTGAGATAAAAGGCCACTTTTAGGAACCGGGAGGAAAGACACGGCCACTTCGGAGTGATTATGTAACTGTTTTTTGTGCGTGCATAGGTTGTTTCAGTTGATATATATGGAAAGAAGGAAATGGTTTAATACCAAACAAGGGAGGAGTTAAAGATGACTTTGGGACCAACCATAACATGCACGCGGTTGCTCCAAGTCCCTCAGCAGAAGAAGAAAAAAGAAGAATTACTGCTCACCTAAAGCTATTGATTGACGAATTAGGACTGATGCTAGTATGGGAGGCGAAAGAATGAATGTAACCGAGTGAAGAGGGATAGAGTTTTCTGATGACAACACCGATTGATAGGAAGGTCAGTTTGGTCGGGGAAAGGGCTAAAGGAGGTACAAGCTGCTTGCTAAGAATTTGGGAAAAGAAAGCTCTATACTCAAAACACTCTTATCTATATGACATACTTTGAATGGGGTGGTTCTTTTGTTCTTTAACAAAGACGTACCTACCCATCACTGCCATAGAAACTAAAGGAGGCAGAGATGTTGTGAACTGCAGTTAGTGGTTAATGTTAGAGACTAGGGGGAACATTTAAAAACAGGTTTGGGAAGGAAGGTGTTGATTTAACACTGAAGCTGCCATATCTACCTGGACAAGTCACATCCACATGTGTAATGGCCCAATATTTTTGCTGAGAAAGAGTAATGAACTAAGCGAAATACTATTGGATTTTGGAGCAGCAGCAGAACTAGGAGGAAGACTTTCAGAGAGCAACATCATTACGAAAAGCTCAGGGAAATTTGAATCAAATCAGCAGGCACAAGGGCATAGATGGAGTACCTTAGCTTTTACTATGTATACTTGTGGGTTTGCATAGAGAAATAACTCCCACATTAATATCCTTTCAATAAAGCTTTGTTTCTCTTTTCTTCACAGTTTTCAAAGCTTCCCGTATTCAGAAAGGTGATTCAAGGGAGCCTACGGTAGTGCACCACTGCCAGCTCATCACCAAAGCTGCATTTCAATCAACAAACAAAACGCAAAAATAAAGTTAATGCTTAACTTTAAAACATAATTTGATATAACCTTTGAAAGTTCACCTACTTCTTCTCATCCCTATGCACCCTCCTCACGTATTTTTCATTTAGAAATCCTGTGGACTCGCTCACGGTGACGCTAAACCCATTCCCCGATAGTGGTATCCTTTTTCCCAGCCTATTGTCTCCACCTCTCTTCCTCTTACTTCCACCCACGTCATTCCACATCCTAAACTTTACACATTAGTATTTTGCACTCCTCTCATTTTTAAATATTGTTTAATTTACTTACCAATGATCGTAGAACTGTTTCTCACTGAAAATGAACAATCCAATGGAATCCTTGGGAGGTTTTTCCACACACAGTTAAGGTTTTACTCTCGGCTTCTTTGAGTAGTTTGTAAATCTCCTCATGTTATATATTTAAGTGAAAGGGTTTAAGTGAAAGGGTGCAATGAACCATTGCAATTGTTTATGTGAATAATTGCAACTACATGAATAAAAGCTTGCAACTATCGATGATTACAACCTTTGGTAATAACCATATTAATAATTGCAACCTTTGGTGATAACCATATTAATATTTGCAACCTTTGATGATTAACCATATTAGTGATTGCAACCCTTGATGATTAACCATTGTAACTCTTTACTAACCATTGCAATTGTTGGTATTAACAATTGCAACTCTTCATTAACCATTGCAACTATTAGTATTAACCATTGCATCTTTTGGATTAACCATTGCAACCATTGGTTGCAACCTTTCACTCTCTATATAAAGAGATGTAGGCATTGGCAAAGTAGATAGAGACAAAAATCAGAAACTAATAGTTAGTAAGAGAGTAAGAGGAAATAGATTTATTGTTCAAAGATCATCAAAGATCTTTGAAGAAACACATATAAGCATTAAAACTCTATTTTTTATTCTTGTATCTTAGCCTAGAACAAGAATGTGACTTTGATTGTTTTATCCTACAAAGGGATTTCGTGTAACCCAAAGGCTTGGAATAGGGTCGAAATACTCTTTAAGGAAAGTGACCTCGTGCGCGATTCAATCATTATCCAAGTATATAATTCACAAATTTCTGGGTTACAACCCAAATAACCAACAATCTTAAAGAGTAGTTTCTTGTGAACTATGACTAGTATATTTGTACGAGAGATTCATCAAAGTCTGAAAAGTTGTAAATGTTTGAGTGAGTAAACTTTTGAAGATGGAGAAAGAAGATGAAACAATGGAGAATAATACACCATTGCTATATTCTCAAAGGTATGTTAGTTTCATTTTAAATAATATTTCTAATAATGATCGAACACTGTACCACCACATGGTGCCATCAAGAGATGCCACCAAATAGTGCCATCAAGGGATGCCACCATGGGATGCCATCAAGGGATGTCATCAAAAGATGCCATCAAGGGATGTTATCAAGGGGTGTCATCCAAAAGGTGTGATCCTATCGTGAACCAAGGGATGCGAGTGCATCTTGATCCAAGGGATACAAGTGCATCGTGATTCAAGAGGTACGAACGTATCGTGATCCAAAAGGTACGAACATGTCGTGATCCAAGAGGTACGAATGTGTCGTGACCCAAGAGGTACGAACGTGTCGCGACCCAAGAGGTGCGAACGTTTCGGGACCGAAAGAGTGTGAACGTGTCGGGACCGAAAGAGTGCGAATGCGTCAGGACCGAAAGGGTGCGAACGCGTCGGGACCGAAAGGGTGCGAACGCGTCGAGACCGAAAAGGTGCGAACGGTTCGGGACCAAAAGGGTGCGAACGCGTCGGGATCGAAAGGGTGCGAACGCGTCGGGACCGAAAGGGTGCGAACGCGTTGGGACCGAAAGGGTGCGAACGTGTCGGGACCGAAAGGGTGCGAACGGTTCGGGACCGAAAGGGTGCGAACGTGTCGGGACCAAAAGGGTGCGAACGGTTCGAGACCGAAAGGGTGCGGACGGTCCGAGACCAAAAGGGTGCGAATGTTCGGGACCGAAAGGGTGCGAATGGTTCGGGTCCGAAAGGGTGCGAATGGTTTGGGATCAAAAGGGTGCGAATGGTTCGAGATCCAAAAGGTGCGAATGTACCATCACCGGAAAGGTGTGAATGTAATGTCACCGAAAAGGTGCGAACGTAACGTCACCGAAAGGGTGCGAACGTAACGTCACCGAAAGAGTGCGAATGTAACGTCTCCAAAAGGGTGTGAATGGGGTGCAAACATAATGTTACCAAATGTGTACAAATATAATATCATTGATACTTATAAATGCAAGTAATTAGGGTTAAGGCCGAGCCATGATGAGTGGTAAACATATTGTTCATGGTCGGGTGCTATGAACTATGATCCATGATATGGATCGATGGCTCAAAAAGAGTTGAAATGAAGTAGCCCTAAGATTTTATTGTACCTTGTAATAAGTATAAAATGTATACATTTATTTGTATGGTAAAGAAATCACCTAAGCATTAACATCAAATGTTTAATGAGATTGTCTTATCAAGTGGTTTGAGTTAAACTACTAGGATAAGTGTTTATATAACAAATTGATGAATTCAGTAATGGAATAATCATTTGCTTATATGTTGATGACATATTGATCTTTGGCACTAGCCATAGATAAGTAGAGTTTACAAAAACCTTATTGTCATCAAGTTTTACAATGAAAGACATGGGGGAGGTGGATGTGATTCTTGAAATTTGAATCACACAAACAAATAAAAAACTATCTTTAACAAACTCTCTTTATATTGAGAAAGTTGTTAAGACGTTTGATTGTGAGATTGTTCTCCAATGACAACTCCCATGGTTGCGAGTGTGAAGACTGGGCCTTATAAAGGACAATAAATATCACAACTCGAGTGTTTGAATGAAAACATAAATTATGGTTTGTTTTATGTCAAATTTCCTTCGTTGGTAGAAGGATATTTAGATGCAAATTTGATTATCAATATAGAAGATCATTCTTCTATAATTGGTTGAGTGTATTTGCTTGGGTAGGTACCATTTCATAGGCTTCCAAGGAGCAAATTTGCATGAAAAATTTGACTATAAAATAAAAATTTGTAGCATTAGCATATGCTAGTAAACAGAATATTGAATAAATAATTTAATTTATAAGATTCTGTTTTGGCCGAAATAGTATCACCAGTTTCTATCTCTGATAGTTAAAAAGTCTTGGTTAAAGTTTATAACTACGTGTATAATGGTAAGTTGCGACACCTGGCGTTAGATATAGCGCAGTATGTGAGCTGATCACTCACGAGGTGATTACCAAAGAGATTGTTCGGTCTGAAAGAAAGGTAGCATATCATTTGACGAAATGATTAGCTAGAGACTTGGAAGTTTAGTCGGTTCAAGGGATGAGTTTAAAGTCCATTTGAAATCTTTAATGGTGGGAAACCCAATTCCCCTCTAATACGACGTTAGAGGCTGAATTCAATGTGGAAAGCCTACACTTAAAGATTGAAGCACATTTTTTTTTTTTTTGCCATCCCAAGGTATGTGCTTGGACCTGCAAGAAGGGATAGGTTGAAATATTATTCTTAATAAATACTTTGT